CGCTAGATGTTCCGGGACCAGAGAAGACGCGTGAGCTTAGACTTTTTCCAGAGCCAGTCGCACAGTCGACGACACTTGTGACCAGGGGAACCAGCTGTTACCGGGATCTATATGGTGGGTATATAGTGAAGTTCTCTTGGAGAATGTGCGGGGATGACTCGGAGGCAAAGCTGCACGAACATGTGAAAGACGTGGATGGCATGGTGAAGCTAGTGGGATGGCGCGACTCAGTAAAAAATAGCCGACTTCTAGAAGGGCTGATATTCACTCAGACGATGGTGAAAGATACGCGTCCAAATGACAAAGCCATGGCCACTCCACTTGAGTTCACTGATGATTTTATGTCATATCAAAAGGAAAGCACCAGCAAGACCACGAAGCGTAAGATAAGGGGCGAGGTGAAAGAAGCAGGGACTGAATATGGACGGTCGAGTAAAAGGGCAAGATCCTCAGCTGGATGTGAGCCAATCCGTCATTGACATCTTGCAAAATATTTACTAACAATATGAAAGCATCAATTATCGCAGAAAAAGTAACGGAAAATAGGCGATCTGTATCGTTGAATGTCATCATCGAAGAAGATGTGTCTTGTGTTCCAGGGGATGAAAGCACCAACATTGCCGAAATCTCTATTGGAGGAGATAGGCAGTCTACTGGGGAGAAACGGAAGAACGTGGAGAGCGACGAAGTCAACGGTAGAATCAAAAGGCTCCAACTTTCAAGCAATCCAGACAATACAGACAATGCAGACAATGGAACAACAAACAACAATTCTGGCACTAGCAACCTTCCTGATATGGAAAAAGTCATTGGAATCTCGCCCTTCATTTTCGGAAGTGACCATTCGAATGTCACACACGATATTATTTGGCCCGAACTCAAGGTCAAGGTCAGGGTTGCAGGGATCCGAGATCATCAGTCCTCGGCAGTTGCGACAACGCCATTTGGACGACCGATCCACAAGGTTGAATCGCTAATTGAACTGGTCATCGGGCTGCGTGATGCGATCAAGGCGCACAGGTCACTTCTCAAAGATGCCATGACATTGTACCGGGATATCTCGGAAAATAACATTATCTTGACAGGATCCGATGTTGGCAAGGGCTGGAGGGGATTCTTGATCGATCTAGACCTGGCTGTATTGCTGTCCGATGACAAAGCCCAGAGAAAGACCCAGACAATGACTGGGACTATGGAGTTTATGGCAGTAGAACTTCTTAGTGGGAGTTGTGAAAAAACAGGCGCCATAGTGAATCATTCATATCGCCATGACTTGGAGTCGTTTTTTTATGTTCTGTTATGGCTAAGCACGAGTCGCGGATGGGAAAATGGTAAAGAACAGAACCGAGATTACCTTTCGAAATGGTTCAAAGGGACTGCCAAAGAGATCTTTGAATTTAAGAATTCTCAAATGAAAGAATCAAATATCGAAGAAGATGTATTGAGCAAGTTCTCACCGAAGTTTTATGGATTGAGGAGGCTAGCGAAGAAGTTCTGGGTGATATTTTTTCATACAAATGGAACATATTTTACAGGATCCTTCAAGGATAATAACGCGTTGTATAACTCAACCATGGCGGCATTTGAAAAGGAAATTCAGATGATGATAGAGTAAGGGAAAATTAGTGATAAATCTTATTTGTCAAGGTATGTATGAATAACACGGGCTATAGATGCCAACTGAAATGCGCAAATAAACATTGTAGAAAAATATTTTGTGGTGACATTATTCGTATGACACAGGTAGTGGAAAATTGGAAGATCGCAGAAAAGCTACTCAAATTGATGATCATTATGTAACTACCTTTTCAGTTTTTGAAAAGATTGAATGTCGTGAGTGAAGTCTTCAGAATTCCATTTGTGTATATTGGCTTACCGCAGAATGACTGATTGAAATTTTATAGATTTTCGTACCAAATAAATTCGTACAAGAACCTTAGATGTAAAGGTCGGTGCGCTCTTAAATGAACCCGGGGTTCTTAAAGGAGTAATATATTACTTGGAGTGGTCGTACATGGAATGAAAATTCACCAATAAACACAACTTTTGGATCTTGACTCGTTGAGAAGATTGTGGATGGTAATGGGATGGAGGAGCACAGAAAATTATTAGATAGATAAGCGATTATGTAACGTTCTGTAAACACGGAACTATCTTTTTGGATTTTTCCCTAGATTTGAGGGCTCCAAATTCACAGACCCCTAGATTACTACGCAAATCTGACATATTGTAATGCCTATGTAATTATATTCACTTCAGATTCCATGCACAATATAAGAAATACTCTACTTCAACAGAGAATATCTCGTATGAAGAGGAGATTGAGTTATATACAGTCTTCAGTTCAAGTATACATATTAGTAGTTTGGAGCCATAAGACACACGTAACCTATATCATCACAAAGCTAAACACATCTCAAATATCGCACAGTCTAATCCACTAAGAACCTCACACCACCACGACTTAACTTTACAGCAACGATGACATTCATCGCGCATCATGAGTCTTTGATAGTCACTATTACACGTATCTCCTTTCTGTAGGCACATTCTCATTCCTTGCCTATACCTTCCCTTGTTAAACCAATTTGGTTGAGGAAAATTCTTGAATAATTGTTGGATTGCCAAAGGACTTCTCTCATAGTTAAAGTTGTTGTTATTACTTAATTATGTCTCTAAATAAGGAAATAGTGACACTATAGTCATCGAGGTCGTAGAGCATATTTATTCCGGTAACGACCGAAACGAAACCAAAAACTTATTTTGTAGTCAGTTGTGTATCAACAGCGCGGCCTACTTGATATCCCTGATTATTCGGACTTCTTACTGTTGGTATGACAAAGGTCATACACTACAAGCCAATAGGTTCACTTGAAGTTATGAGAGTACTGCAGTACGTAATGAGAACAATTGTTCGATTGGGTTCGATTGATTATGTATATCTCTCCCCTAAACTATAGCCACGAAGTTGGTATCTATCCTCGGATAATAGTTTACCCGATATAAAAGAATTACAAAGAGAACTGTTATACATCATGCAGGGACCACCAACTCCAAACCCAAGATAGACTCAACCGAATTAATCGTTCCGACACTTACAATCTCCAATGGACTACATGGACAGCGTTATTTTCGTCCTGTAGCTTTGACTCACTCGTCGTTGGTCAGTAACTAGGACGCGTAGACATCTGCTCCAAACCCTGGATTACAATTGTGGATGTATCAATCCATGCTAGTTTCGCTTTGGAATTTTCTCACAACCTTTTTGTCACCAGAAATAAACTGTGGAGTCCAAAGCTTGTCTACGGAGACCAATTTTGACAATTTCGGAAATTGGAAGTATGACATACCAAGAATGAGGATGTAAGGATTCTTGAGAAATGCCTCAGGCAGGATTTATGGGTTCCTTGTTTAATCCCACTAGTCTTTTTTTTTTTTTTTTTGCATCAGATTTTAATTGCGTATGCAGCTACCTAGCTATGACACAATATCAAAGAAAAGTATAGAATAGATGATTCAATTTAAAAGTAGAGCACTCATGCCTCAGATTTCATTTGCAAGTACCACTGCGAAGTTATGGCGGCTTTTTCTTCACCCCAAGTCAAACCGTCATCCGTAAATACCCACCCAGGGGAACGTCTCAAATACCCTGAGTTATCCAGACATGCCTCCATCATCCATCAACTTTTCTCCGCGCGAAATGTCATCTGAGATGTCTCCTTACCAAGTGGAGTAGGTGACCTGGCTACTCAAACTATACCAGAGAACACCACCAGGAGGCGGACCACAGCACCTTCCATTGTTTGCTTGTTTTTATAGTGTCAGCTGCAATCTTGTAAGCCAAGTCTTGGCGCGCACAAATCCCAATTTGTAAAACTCCTTGCCAAAATTCAGAACTTCACGCCCTTCGAGGTTATATCCTTCCTTTGCATCATCTTGTGAACTTGTCCTGATCCCTCTCACGTCCATTCCAAAGAACTGTCTCCCAGATTTGTGCGCCACGCTTTGCTTCCTCCGTCGGGTATAAATATCGGCGTGGGCGTGTATTTGGTGACCAGCTGAGGCCAGAGAAGGTCGAAGAGTGGTGTGGTCATTGGAATGAGGATGTACTTGGTCGTACTTGTAGACTCGATGAGACGAAGATAGGGGTCAAACTCGTTGGGAGCGAAATAACGAAGTGGATGAGTAATTTGGATTTTTGCCTCGTGGGCCAACTTATTTGATATTGCGAAATTTGACTGAACTTGGCTCTAGGAGAATATTTCATTCCCAGGTTCGTAGAGGACACCGCTTACAGGTGTTCAGTCTTGCCCTCCCCCACTAGTCTTTATTGCTTAGCGAGGGCACCTATGTAGTTTCCATTTCCGAGACTGATATCTTCACGCTTTGTTTTCTGTCTTTAGGAATAGTTACATTATTCTAATAACATCTCACTCTCGTCCTCTGCCAAACATAGTGACCTACTGTCACCTCCGTCCCCTCTATCTAGAACGACTCCCCGCTTTCCCTTTTACCACTTCTCTAGAAAGCCCTCCGCGTTACCACGAGGCGTCCTTCCTCAGTACATCCTACGCTACGCCCTCTCCTACGCCTCGAGTCCTGCGCCCAGTGAACCTGCGCCTGACAGAGGACGATTTAGGGTTACGGTGAATTGGATTACTGTGCGACGAATTTAACTGATGTTTCATGAATAGTTAGTTGTAAGGAAATTGCTATATTGCTCTATGTGCAGCGAGAAGTCTCTCTATAGACATGAAAGCGGGGGTTTACGCACATTAGTGTGTACTCCAACATACTTCGTAATCAAACTTAAATGGGAAGGTTATTAGAGATCCTAAAGCCAATTTATGTTGTCAGGCATATATTGGCTAATTCCTATTCACGCCAACGAGTGATGATATGGGTTAATCACATCTTATGGCGCCAGTGCACATTATTATACCATGTAGTATTTATTTACCGCAGTCATTTTGTTGCGTTAATTACAAAAAGACCATTCAATGTCTTATCGTAAAACTTCTAAATCTCTTTCAGGATTTGGCGTAGTAGTGTCGGTCTATGTCAGCTCTCACATAAACTTTCCCAGTTTATGGACTGTGGTCGTTCCAGTATATATTCCATCCACACCACTAGTGCTCTATGGTCACAATTCCCTCTATAAGAAATATGCCCTACTACTGTATACTTTCCATAGACTTGTGTTTTAGAGCGATCCGTGTAATAGCTCTCTCATATCATTACCAAGCTCCACTTGGATTTCTTTCTATCCTGCTTCGGTCTATTATCACGGATTAATCTTCTACTCGTTCTTTTAATTTCCTCCCTGGCAAAATTATATCCAACAAAGATTGTCGTGAAGAGGGTTTAATTGTGAAGGTTTAGGTTATCGTAGAGACTTTTTGTTGTCGGACAACTTGACCAAGTTCCTTCTTCTCAGTTATAGGCGAGGATTATAAGGAAAATCTCGAGAGTTGTAGGAATACTCTCGCATACAGTACCCTAATCTGCTTGGAGTAAGCTTAACCCTGAAACTGAACACGAAGGAGCTTTGGACTAGTCATTAATTAGTCATCGATTAGTCATTGATTAGTCATAGAAGGAAAGGTGGTCAGAGCTGAGATGGAAAACTATTCTGGCGAGTTCCTTTGGGAGAGGTGTCAGTGGATAGAGGTAGTTGCGTTATATATACTTAATATAGTATATTTGTTCATTCGCCCAAAAGAAAATCTACAGTAGCCGTCGCTCTAAAATTGTGGAACAACGAGAGTCTAAGTGGTCGCTTTTGAAGGGGAGCTTCTGAGTTGGGGTTGTAGCTGCTGTTGAAAAGCCGCAGAGAAATGTTTGTGACAGCCTTCGGGTAGGAGCTGTCAGATAAAGGATTCGACAAATTTCGGAAGAGAATCGGAAAGTTCGAATTGTGAAAGCTGTCGAAGACTAGCTGTCAGGTTAAAATAGATGACGGAGCTTTCGCAACTTAGCTGCCGTATTTGGAGGTATTTTTAATTTTCTGAGGCGACTCATTTGACTCATACGCTCTCTGTCTCAAGTCCATCGTCGACCTGGTATGTCTTGACTTCATTACTTCGTAGCACTAAGATTTTCGGGAGGGTTTTGAGAAATTGCCATGTCTGCGGTGCAATAAAAGTTTGAAGAGAGTCGTTTGTTAGTTAACTCCGACCACCTCCCATCTCAGAGCGATTATACCGCAAGCTGGCTATAGACTTCATGACATTTCTTCTAGCTACCGATAGAAATGCGAGATTCTTTATGGTTATAGATATGCCACCACTTGGCAGCACAACACTAGAAGCTCTGGTTACGATGAAGTCGAAGCTTATGCAGACAAATTTGTATTAAGCTACTGGCGCTTTCATGGTTTTCCTAACTCCCTGAAATTAGATCGAGAGGGACTTTTTTGTTAGATAAGGTCCTAAGCCGATGCTCCAAGTCCACTTTGGGTCCAGGAACGGTGGAGCCGGAGAGGATTTCTGCATACAGACCCAGCTCGTTCCAGCCACGTGAACTAACACAAAAAGCGCAAAAGTTAGCAATAGCTGAAAGTAAAATTAGAGGAAATGTTGGAATTGAAGACGCATAGTCTTGTGGACGTACGGGCCCTCTATCCTTTTAGGTTCCCGACACCATCTTGTACAGTTAAGAGGGTGGATTAAGTACTTGTTAGTGCTTCAGGCTACCTAATGGATATTTGAGCAGTTACATGGCGTGGGCAAATGGAGGCTATTCGGGATGGAGCCATGCCTAGTTGACGTCTCAATTGTTTATGCTGTGGTACAGGCTGTGTGTTGCTTACACTTGAACTTACAGCGCACAGCTACCATTTTTTTGTTGGTAAATTGAACACGATAACCTTTTATTCAACTTCTTCTTTCGTTGCAGAAAGTCGTACCCACTTTATTGCGTGATATTTACAACATAAATCTCCTTACTCGTTCAGATCTTGCGCCTCTCGCCCGCTCCCTTTTCCGTCGCATCTTCCAACGGACTTTTCCTGATCCTCGCTGAGAGCAATAGATAAGCTCACGTGCTCCTGCCATGGCCGGCCGGCCGCTTTCATGCCCCATATTATTGAAGTCTATGTAGACTTCAGTAAGGACCTCCGTACCCTCATACTTCTCGGTCGGAATCCAGAACTCCGGAGTCCGATCCCTCTTTTATGGGGATATCCCTTTTTTTTTTTTGTATATCATAATGTATTCAGCTATCTAGCTATGACAAGGGGATATCCCTTATAGAGGCGATAATGACCCCTTCCAGTGGGACCAATCTCAACACCTGTCAGTGGTGTTCCTTACGAATATTTAGCTCTTACTGTAGATTTTGCGCAGCGGAGATCGAATATCAAAGTCCTCACTTCGTTGAGGATTCCTATTGTGACATCATAGTATTTGTTGAATTATTACATGATGTAATGAGAATTCCTTGTGATGCTGCTCTAAGCTCAACGTGTAACAGTGAAGATGAAATCACCAACTTTTTACTGGGAAGTGGTATGCGCTAGGTGGAGATAAGATGAATCTCAACAATTCTAGTTGTGAAGGTGCGTAGTTAGTTGGAAGGATATGATAGAAGCTGGGTCTAAATGTTATGTATATTTGGACCTGCTCATATAGGAGAAAATAGAAATTATCCGAATTTTACAATAGTTCCCAATCACTTCCGCGGTCTGTATCGTCTTCATCTCTCATCATAACCCCCTGTCACCATTATCATGAAGCTAACCACGATCAGATCAGATGGTAGGTTCGAAGCCCTACTACTCACCAACCCTTGATCATGGAGGAGAAGCCATCCGATGAGTCTCTGGAGCGTACCCAGCACCCGATACGGAGATGGCGGATTGGATCAAGTCGACTTCGACTTTTACAAAGAAGGGAGATATAGATGAATATGCGCACCTCATGTGGTCCCGGTGTCAAGGCTTCGCCTGGCTTGGGCTGCAGATTTTTGGAGACTTTTTCCCGCGCACGCAATTTCCATTGCTACCATTTTTAATTTTTTTGGTAGAAGGTTCCGTGGAAAAGGTGGCTGAATTCCACGGGTAAAGCCTGAGCTGAATGGCTTTTGATCACGGGCAATATTTCAACGATCTTTCAAGAAACATAAGAGGCAAGGAGCACTGTACAAAGTGTGGCCTGGGTCAGAGAGGAGTCTATTGCGCTAGATATTCTATGACTCAAGTAATACAATAAAAAAAATCACATCACATTGAGGTTGTAGAGCGCGTTGATTCAAGCAACTACCGAAGTCAAACAAAGTACAGGATTTGTAGTCACCTGTGTCTCAACAACGTGGCCTACTTGATAGCTCCAATTATTCTAACTTCTAACATAAATTTTACATAGCGATCTATATCCAAGTCGGGATAATGGACAACTCGCCATGATAGATTTACAGATCCAACTCACCCAATCGCTTCATGAAGTCACGTAATCTATGCCTCACATCTATAAGATTTTCCAAGCCTCTCGGCTCAGCAGCATTCAATTGGATTAAGTTATTTTTTATCATTTAATGGATTAATTTATCTAACCTATCAGACTGGTGGCCTACACATGGGAGCCCTGACACGGGTGCGTGTTGCAGGAGGACCCGTTACTACCACTGAAGCCGGCTTTGTTTCGCCAAAAATATAGATGATTGAAAAAGAGACATATGGCGAAATTTTCTCTGCATCTAACTAGCTTTCAGCCCAGAATCTGACTGCAGTGTATGCATGCCGGAGGACCTCGGTCGTCCGAGCTCAGCTTTGCGCCCCGTGACGGCATGTCAAGGGGAGAGATGTGTAGAATGCTGGCAATCTCGCCTCTCACATTAGTGCCAATCTACCCAAGCGCTGTTTCCCGTCTGGCTCTTCGCCACTTTTATTGCAATGCGGCATTCCGAGTAAGAGCACGAACATCTTGGTCGCGCTTACACCTAGAGTCTGCCGCTCGGCGATGACGGCCTTCACGAGACTTGAAGTTTTCGCAGCCAGTCCTAGCCGCGGCGAGACGACAAAAGTGCTCGTCTACAGTGGCTCAAAATTCATCTTGAGGCTTCCCCGAACCTAATTCCAATCGTGTGGACCCGTATCTTCGTGGGGTGTGGGGAAGCGGGGCGCGAAGGTTTGCTGCTTGTTGATCAGTCGCCGACATAGTTCAACACTCGAAGTTATAGAACCAGCCTTGTGCGCGGGCACGTTAAGCTCAGCTACTTCAAATTAAACGTACATCTGAATCACTCCAGCCCCCACGGAATAATTCCCGACTGCTGTAATGACTGAAAGGAAGTTAAGTCTTCTTTTTGCATTTGGTCCGTGTGTGCTAAGCCGGCTCATCAAATCAGATCCGGCCATAGCAATTTATGCAAAGGTTCTTTGCGTGCACTTCACGCTAGAGAGGTAGGAGTTTATAAGCTTAATATGAAAGATAAGAAAAACTGCGCTTCTCCTTCCGGGACCTGAGGCCAACCATGACCGCTAGGCCAGGAAGAGAGGGCGAATAAGTAGAGAATAGGACTAATTTGTATAAGCTGTGAGAGAATAATTCATGACCGACATTGCCATCTCCCTCCGACATCTCTCCAGATATTTCTTTACTGCTCAACACTTTATCTCGAGCTATGACTTCAACCGTCTATTTCAGACACGTGGCACCCAGAGATGAGGTATTCAGTCAATATAGCGTCTTCGCCGGGTTGCGCACTTTCATCCGAATCGGAAGATGCATCCTCTTTCAATACGACCCAAACGATCCGCATGTGTCAGGCGCAGATTGACAAGGCGCAAGACTCATGGCGGAGGTGAGAGCGTGGTGTGCGAGTTACTGAGGAAGGACGGCTCGTTGGAACGCGGAGGGATTTCTAGAGAGGTGGCCAAGGGGAACGCTGGGGCCGTTCTCAATAGAGTAGCCGGAGGTGATAGTAGATCACAGAGGTTGGCAGAGGGGGAAGGGGAGAGCGAGATGTAATTAGAATCATGTAATTATTCCTGAAGACAGAAAATAAAGCGTTAAGATCTCAGTCTCGGAAATGAAAACTACCTAGTTGTCCTCGCTAGGCAATAAAGACCAGTGGGGGAGGGCAAGACTGAACACCTGTACGCGGTGACCTCTACGAACCTGTGAGTTAATTATTCTCCCAGAGCCAGGTTCAGTTAAATGTCGCAATACCCAACAAGTTGACCCACGAGGCAATAATTCCAAATTATCCACCACATCAATCTTTCACTCCCAAAGATATCGAATCCTAACTAAGCCTCATCAATTCTACAAGTACGAACTATTGCATCCATATCCCATTGACCACACCTCTTGTCGACTTTCTCTGGCCGCAGCTGGTCACCAAATACACGCCCACGCCGACATTTTCTCGCAACGGAGGAAGAAAAGCGTGGCGCACAAATCTGGGAGACAGTTCTTTGGGATGGACGTGGGAGGGATCAGGGCAAGTTGAAAAGATGATGCAAAGGAAGGATATAACCTCGAAGGGCGTGAAGTTCTGAATTTTGGCAAGGAGTTTTACAGATCGAGCTTTCTGCGCGCCAAGACTACGGTTACAATAGTACAGGCGATACTATAATCACTGCCATGGTTGAATGGTGCAGTGGTACATCTTCTTGGCCGGTCTGCCAAGTATAGTCTGGATAGCTTGGACATATATCCCACTTGAGACAGGAGATGGCTTGTTGCAATCCGTCAAATCACAACCACTTTTCTCGCGGCGCTGGTTTACATGGATAACGAAGGCATGCTTGGACAACCAAAGGTTTTGAAACGTTCCTTTGGTGGGTACTTACGGAGGAGGGTCGACTGTTTGTGTAAGCGAACATACCTCATGGTGGTATTTGCGAATGAAATCCAGAGTATGAGTGTCTCTAACGTCAAAAGAGTCATCCAACATGTATACATAGCGCCGGTCATGTGTCATAGCTCTATAGCCGCATATACATTAAATGATTTAAAGAAATGCCTAGTGGGATTAAACGAGGCACCCGATAACCCTGCCCAAGGCATTTCTTCAGAATCCTTACAGCACGGTTCTACAATACGACGCTGACATTCTGATTTGCCTCGTTCTCTTCCGCAGTGGATACTCTGGTCTGATAATGGCTATGTGCGAAAGAGCAATCGATTCGATCATCGTCATATGTCAGGACCGACATCCCGCTCTCGCTCGCCCTCTCTCTCAGACTGCAAAGTAGCTACTATGGAGAGCACACTCTCTACTTGGATGTTTGAGTAAGCTTGCTGCTTGTCAGAAAACTTTCCACCCCCTGGCGAACTATTCTTGGAAATGCCATCATTAAATAAAGGATGTTGTTAAATAGTTTGTCCTACATACTTGTAAACTCAAATAGGACATAAGTGGTCAATAATAATATCACTCCAACGTTTCACCTGTCTTCATTAGTCAGCAATTGTTGTGGGCTTCTAGCGCGCTAGGCGATGGAAACGGGTCTGCTATCTTAGACCTCGAAGCTTGCGCTCTTCCTTAGATGTAGATGAATGAATAACAACGAGTCCACTTAACTATTCATGATACGTAACCTGTGTATAGGTGATATCACTCCGTAGAATCAACACTATCAATCTGATTTATTAGAAAGGCTTGGCTAGCTTGCATATTAGTCAGAAGTAGTCATTCTGCCGCCCAATTTGCCACCCACGCTTTTCTTGCAGCTCACTGTTGGTTGGAGAGGACTGCAGGGACTTTAAATTTCGTCTACCACTATCGGTTGGCAATGCGCTTCCTGAAAGGTGGATCCAAGCGCCGTGGAACAGTTAGGCTATGTATGACATTTATGATGCTATCTGGATGTGTGACGACCGTCGATCAGAGCGCCGATCTAGGCCCGGCCCGCTCCGGAGCTGCTTCCCCTTGTCTCGTCCCACCCACAGCGACAGAAATGCACGTACGTCGAGCGAATCCTTCACTGCCGTGACCGCCATCCAAAAAAAGCCAACGGTTTTCGTCTTCGCCTACCGTGTTTTGTGCCCTCTATCCATGCGCAGTCGCTGGGAAAAACAATTAAGCTCCACGCGTACGTAGTCCTTTCATGCGTCGAGTGTGTGGTGACATAAATGGAAGCAACGTAGTTTACCAATAGAACTTATTTAACCATCCTAATCTTCTGATTGGGTGACTGCTCATTGTTATTCAATTACCAGCTTGCTTTCATCAGAAACCAAAGATGAATCAAATGTAATACTTAAGTATTATTTTCATGAAGTTTACAAGCCCGCAATATCAGAGGATCTTTTGTTCAGAAGAATATTGAGCCCAAGTTAGAAAAACTGAAGTCTTCTTCGCGTGTCATAACACCCGACGCAGTTTATACACGTCTCAAACGGTTGGTAAATGAATTAAAATGCGCAACTTGTGCAATGTAGCAAATCACGAGATACTAGGATTTAGATATATTTTGGTCTTCCATTATCCTTCTTTATCCTTCATTACGAGGGAGAACTTTGGGTCAACAAATTAACCAACAAAATAGATAATCCGGTATCGTATCGTTGAAAATTTCTGCTCAAAACTAGCCTATTCCTTCAAACAACATATCTAGAAGCTTTCGAGAAATTTAGGTTGAAATGGTATCACGTATGCTCAGCTCTCCTGTACAACTCCAGTGCCTACCCTATGTTTAGAGATACTGGTAGAGTGATTTGGTTCTTTCCGTGCCAATCAAATTCATCTCTGTTCTTGGTTCTGCGCCAAAGCACTTTTTCCATGTTTCCATCACCAGGTCACTACCCCCAATACCTACCAGAATGCTGAACCAAAGTTCTGTGGTCCCAAAGTTCTCTATGTTCCCTCCGATATGCGCCAGCCTACACGGTAACAATACGCCTCCATCCATCGAGCAGAAATTAGCAGAGATTGAATGAATGGACACTTCGTATTTAATCCTTGAATTCTTATAATTGTTCAAGTCATATTCATTTCGTGTTGGGTCAAAGCCGAGGGAAAATATCCTCGACTCTCGGGAAAACCTTCCCAACGTCCACAATGGCGTAAACTCAATCCAAGCACGCCATCAGAAGTTCCTGAACAAAGGCTAGGAAGTATGTGACTAAAGTCACTCTTGGTCTTGGCCAGAGCATATTCGGGCGCAGGAAGGTGGTAGCGAGGCTCACTATTCTCCCAAATTGGTGAGGGGTAGTACATGTAGCATGAACTCTCCTCAATTTGTTTGGCTTCTTCGGGTGACATATTTGCATCCATCGAGCCATGGAGTGATGGTATTGTGCATCGATATTGTGAGCGTCCATCGTAGCCAGCGTTGAAGGAAGAGCCGTGTAGCATGGGCGATAATCCACCGCTCATCGAGAAATCACTAAGACTACGACCCAGATTTGCACTGGGAGTATATGTACCGTTAGATCCACCAGGTCCATTACTCGTGTTGCTACTTCCTCTCCGCTCGTTTTGATAATGTCCAGGGGAGCGACCGCGAACCACCATCTGAGCTGATATTCGCGAGGCTATTTTGATGTGGCGGTCAACGTGTTGATCTCCCACATCAGCAAAGAGATCTACCAAGAGATGATAATATTGCTGAGCTGCTCTCCTTTTACCATTATTGGCAGTAGCATTTTTAAATTGGATTCGCTCAAATGTCGCCTCTGTAGCTGGTTGCCCTGAAGTTGGATTGAATCCTTGCGAATCATAAATTCCCGATAGGTCCCCCGTACCATCATATGTGGTGTGCGATGCTGGTGGTCTTGGGGCCAGTACAATACGCGCCGGTTTTTCTTGTGGCCCTTTGTCACGCTTCGGAGTGTGCTGAACCAATTCAATTGATTTACCGTTGCGACCATCAACCACAGCAGCTATAGACATCGAGAACGCATGGACCTGCAGAATTGGCGCTCCCGGTATTTGCACGTACAGATTTTGAGTTGGAATAACTGGCGACAAAGTAAAGCTACAGTTAAGAGAAAAATAGTTTCTTCGGTAGCAAGTCCAGTCATTATCGGCCATGAAGAATCCTTTGTCGATCCTACCAAAAATTTCGGGGGTAATCATCTGTCCATCTGACGTGGTAAGTGTGTAGTGCACTTCGGTTGGACAGAGGGGTGGAGCCTCGGCTTTTCCTAGAGATTCATTCATGTTGGAGTTAGGACTGGCGAAACCACTGGTGCTTGTTGGTGAGATTGGGGCGCTACGCAGATTCACTGGTATTGGGGGTGATCTCGCTAGTAGGTCGGATGATTGACGATATGATCCCGGGATATTGCTAGCGTACAAGTCTCGCGAAGATAAAGGAGGCGAGATATGGGGCGAGTGTGCAGAAGAGCCTCTTGAATGTGTCAGACTTGACGAACTGTGACCACTGTAAACATGATTGTTAGGATTTCTCCAAGATGGCGTTCGTGTCGCAGAGAATAAGAAGTACGGAGGGTTTCACTCACATTGAGCTGAAGCGCGAAGGCCTAAGGCTATCCGGCATGGATGAGTAGAGCGGTGTTGGCGTATAGTATGTACTGCTTCCAGTCGCTAAGTTGTTAGAATAGGTCGAGAAATTCTGTGTAGGCGGTAAGTAGCAATTGTAGGATGATGTAGGTAAGCTTGATGACTGAGAAGTGTTCTGTATCGAGGGCTCTAGTGAATAGATTGTCGAGTGTGAGCCCACAGACTCGGGAGAAAAGCTGTAGGGATCGATATCAGCCACAGCAACCTGAATCGCACTCAAGAAAAGACAGCACAAGCCGATAGACTAATTGAAAAAAGTGAAATATCGGCCAGTGAGTACGTTGTACATACAGCTACGGATAACAGCTGGCGTACAAAGAGCCCTTTGCGCGTGACGCGACGGTTACAGGCCTACGCAGATGGGGCTAAGCGGGGAGAATAAGCGGGGGTGGGGGTGGGGGAGGGGGTGTTAAAGGCCGTACAACCGTCAATCAACGGGATAACCGGGAATAGGTGGTGCCACATGCTACGATAGGATTAGAGTTATTGGTCGTCGGCTCACTTGTTCGAGTCTAAAGACCATAGGCACGTGAGTTCTCGATATGGTATCGACAACCCAGATCCAGCAAACAGCACTCGCGGGAAGATGCAAGGATTGAAATCAGGGTAGACTAGGACATGCAATCGACATACCGGTTGTCATCATCTGGAAGATTCATGTAGCGCATCCCTAGATTTGTCAGGTGCACAGGCGGCGGGTTGAAATTTCCTCGGTTAGAAGTCTCAGATTCTGGTTCTCCAACGAGACTCGAAGATGAAGGGTCTCCGAGAGCTAGTAGATTCTGGTGGTTACTTGGTTCTGAGCACATCAAGAAGTTTGCTTTGTGAACTATAGGAATGAGATGATTAGCATAGGTTTGTGTAAGTCCAAGCAAAACAGGTCTCGATCAATTTGTTAAAGTAAATGATTTTTATGAAAGATGAAATGGCAAGTAGTCTAAAATTGGTCCCATGTATTGAACTTGTAAAAGTAGAGATTACTTCCTCGTGCTTCAGAAAGTCTAATGACTACCTTCGAGGATGGAGCACGAGAGATTCCACTTGAATTTCTACCGTAACTCGCATTTCTCTAATCAGTTCCATAACTTCATGAAGATTTTGACAACAGAGTCTGGTGGGAAAACAGAAAGTCCCGGACATCAGTTAGGACCATAAGCAATGCATGGGGTGAGTCCTAGGCGATGTTGTGCTGACATTAAAATTGGTTATTGTCAGTCTTTGAGAATGGTGGAGATTAGGATATTAGAGACAGACTGCAATCTGTCAGTCATTGACTTTTTTTCTCGTGTTAGAGCCGTGTTGCGTCTCAACGGCCGGCAGTATCCGAGTTTTCCTTGACTTATTATCCTAGCAAATCAAGCATACATATGACGATTGTCAGGAGTCGAAAGGTGGAAGGACAACGATCCACTTTGATTCGGCCCGGTCCGGTCCGTGGTAGCGGGTCTGATTATTTCTTTTGATCTCCTCTTTCGTGCGTCCTTGACTTTCTGCTCTTTCACATGTCTTGTAAACTTATGCAGCGACGACGTGATTTTCCGAAGGATGATACCTTCCGACGACGCTAGCACCTAATTTTTTGGCACTACTTATCAAGGAAACTTGGGATATTTTTTAAGCCAAGTAGATGGTTCAACTCCACGTAGACTTGGCAGAGGAATGTTCCCAATTCTCTTCCTGTACTCTTTATTGCAAGTAAGATGAGGGCTTGTATACGCTGATACGGGTGACGATTTTCGTATCTTCCCAGTGAAGCAATAACCCTAGTTGATATCGTTCGGGAATAAATGGAGCGCAGTGTTGAAATTAACTAGCGTTGGCGCAGCTTCTAGGATAAAGGTACAGGGGCCCAAAATGTAGTTTAATTATTTAAGCGAGGTTTCGAGAAGATGTGGATAAGACGAGATACTGTTGGCCAGGTCTCAGATGAATAAGTGGTAGGGTTGGCTACACTAATAGTTTGGGGTGCTGATCAATTTGGAATCAGGAGGGAGAACGTTGATGGCATTAAAATTCGAGCAAATTCGGAAAAACAGAGTACGCTGTGAACAAACAACAAAGAGATCCTCGTTTTAGCTCACCAACAAGCAAACTTTAGTCAAAGGAGAAAAGGCAGGCGTTGAAGATGATGATGAATTGATGAAGCTAGATTATGTCAGCCATAAACACGGCCCCCAAATTAGAAATAAGGTCAAACCTCTCGCGATCTAGCAGATCAAGAGTAGTAAATTTGGTATGAGAGTGATGGTGAGGGGATAATGGTAGTGAGGAGGGCACGAATATGATGCCTCGGTGTGATGGTAAGCGAAGTGGGATGTAGAGCTGATGATGGTGATGATGATAGTAACGATGAAGAGATCTGTTGTAGTGATAAAAGTGAGGAAGCTGAGTGCGCCAGTAATTTTGGAGTTGGATATGGGATGTCTTGTATTCTTGTATTGTATATACTTTAGCGTTGAAAGGCCAGGGGGGTGGTATCATATGCAAATGGGTGAGGACGATGGCGGCCGGCTGAATGGGAGAGAGCGGGGGGGTGAGGAGGAGGGATTGGGAAGAAGGGGAGAAAAACATGTCAGAGATACGCATGAACGCCAGAAGTTGCTGTTACTACGAGGGAAGGCAGGGGGGTATGAGGATCAAGGCTGAATGGGTGGGCGAGTGAGGACGAAACAATCATTCTCTAAAATTTTATCTTTCCAACTTTCCACGCGTAGAGCCCCTTCCATAATCTCGCCTTTCCATCGTTCTTCCGCGCGCCGCCGCCGTCGCCGCCCACACCTAGGGACGCGGTAATATAGAGACTGTGGTTCTGGTGCCAACGGTCGCCATCATCCGCATCATTTTCCCTAACCAGAGCCAAACGAGCGATGAACTTCAGCGAAATTTCCAGTGCAAAAGACGTCCCCGTCTCTCAAACCTATCGAGTTGCCCAATCCCGTTTGAGCATTCTCGCAATTTCCCGTGCGTGCTGCCCATGCTCCCCCCCAGCGGCCCCGTCGCGACCCTCGTCATCTGCGTCTGGCTCCTCGTCCGTATCGATCGTGCCATTCTGCCTCTCACCCGCCCCCTCCCTCATGATCCACGAAGTGCAGGATGAGGTCGCCGTAGATGGATTCGCCTGACGAATGCGAGCGCTTCCGAGACCCCGAGCGTGCTGTGGGCGATGGTAGAGAGAGAAAGATTGGCGGCTGGACAAGCACCAGGATTGTCATTCCCCTTTCTTTCCCAGCGCAGAGGACGGGGCCGGACGCACAGGTTACTGGAGGTTTGTCGAAGTCGGGCAAGGCAGACTCCGCCGCCTGCTCGGATGAGCTGGCGCGGCAGGTCGGCGAAGGCGGACGCGAGGAGAGTCTCCAGCCCATGTCCTTCCTCCACAGCCTAGTACAGGGGAGAGCCCGAGACGCGTTTCCTCGGACAAGATCGCCGCCTTACCTAGCGATGACTGGCAGCATGATGCAGTTCTATCTCTGGCACCGCCCAAATGGGCATGGTGCGGCTGAGGTTGCAGCGCCGAAGGAACGGATGGATCGTTGAGTGTCGTCTCGGATGGCGCTGACGAGCCGGACCCGTGAGCAGACGGGCATGTCTGACTAATCCACTGCAGGCGGCCTCCTTCCCATGTCTTCGCGTCCACCTCTCCCGTCAAGTCTCGCTCCCGCCAGAGCGCTGTCATTGTTCATTTGCTCTAGTATGTCTAATTTACGCCTAGCGGCGCCAGTAATAGTTCCCATAGAAATAGTATTCTTCGCCACCTTCATGGAAATCAGGCACGACGCGAACGCATATCTTCCTCTTTTCACCACTGCTACTGCCGCTATCGCAGCGCGTTGCGTCGATCCCCTTTTTGGCCTCGACAGCGAGGTGAGTTGAGAGGCATCTGAGCCCGCGACTGGCAGGCTGCACGGAGTAGTTTGTCAGCGACCCTTGGCCTCGGGTCTAGGCGAGCCAGCGGCGACGGCGAGCAATGGCCCCGTCGAAAAACTAAGCCCCACGGGCCCTTCTCCCGTAGACCCCAACATACTATCATCCTGAGCTCCTTTGAAAACTGCATTTCGCCTCGTCCACTCGCTCACTTGATCGCGACCTGGCACTGAACTGATAAGGGTTTGAGCTGCAGGCTCCCTTAAGTTGAAGAGGGCAGCTGGCCGCGAGCGGCGTCGTAGTAGTCGCTGCCAGTGATGCCAAGCCTGACTGGCCTCCTCGCCCAATCACCCGACTCGGCGCCCTCTACGGCCCCCTGCTCTGTTCAGACAGGGGGCGGGGCACGAGCGTCAGGGCGTCGGAAGGGCGACCGGCTGCTACGCTGAAGAAAGCTCCTCCTGATTCGGTCAGCCGAGCTGCAGGCCCCCGTCTCGCTCATTCAGCCGTCTTCATCGGCCACGTGAGGGCACGGTCAGCTGGAGCAGCAGTGGCTGCTGCTGCCCTCGCGGACATTGCGAGCATGACGCCCTGCTGGCTCCAACCGCATCCAGCCACTCTCTCAACGCGCCCCCGCCTACCAGGCCGAATGCGCGAGGCTACCAATGGTCGGTGCCAGATGCTCGTGATATACTAGCCCATCGCCCCTCATCATCCACCTCGCGCTCCTCTCCTGCGACTAGCAGCGACGTTCGCTGCCCCGAGACCCGACACAAGGCAGGGCCCAGACCGCAGACCCAGGGATGCCGTCGCTGGAGATGCAAGTTGGAGTATGGCATGTATATGTGGCTTGTCTTGTAGGTTGCATGTACATATGCGCGCGCGTGCGTGGGCGAAGGGAGGGCTTGGACTGGTCCATGGCCTTACGCGCCGCCGAGGAGCATGGGGACAAGTGGGCCGGCCCGTATCAAGGCTGGCCATGAAAGCCTGTTGCCCTGGCATGTCCGCAGTCCTATCACGGCGGGGGGGAGGGATACCGGGAGAAAACAAGACCGGCTCTTTCCTCTTCCTCATCGCCATCCCGGAACGCCAACCCGCCGCTGACGTACGTGAGCACCGTCGGGGCCCGGACTATCGGCCATCTCCCAGACCCTTCGTCCGCCGTCCTCGCCACTCACGCGTCTGCCTGTCCGTGCGCGACTCGCACCCCATTGGGTACGCGTGCGGTCTCGCCCAAACGGGTCGCCTCTCTGCTTCCCTGATCCATATGCCTCCGGCCCACCCCCGCATGTCCACCAGGCCATTACGATGCTCATATACGACACACCGAAACATTGGACATCTTCTGCAGATCGGATCGGATCGGGGCGAGTTGCAGATTGATAAAGGGGTGATTGCTAAGGTGGAAGCGTGTGCAGAGGTCTCGCGGACAACCGACCTTGCCCATAAGACTTGAATGCTAGGCTACACAGAGCCTGACCTCCGCTGACTCCTAGGGACACTAGCCCCGCGTCTTCAGAGCAGAGGACCACTGGCAGGCTCGTGGTACATTCCGTCGTGGACTGTCTCGACCTGCATGGAAGGGCTGGCCCCCTCTCTCCACCACCTTCACGCGCTCCGCAAACACTTAAAATAGCCTACAGCGGTCTTTACATGCATGTGCGAGCAGAGTCATCGCCATCTCACGTCGAGCTGTCTGGCCCACAACTCGTTTTGGGAAGAGACGGCCTAGAGACCAACCTTAACCACATTCTCCCATGCCAGTTGGCCCAACTGGCCCGCCGCTTCACCCTCCACTCCCGGCCGCGCTACCGTACTATCCAGGCTTCCACACCTCCTGGCCATACACTCATTGCTAATCCATTCCCGAGACCCTTGGCGTTGACTTCCGCTAGGCTGTATTTGGGGTGCTAGAAGCGTGCCAAGTCCGTCACTATCCTGACCCTCCGTCGCCAGCATCCCAGAGCACAACCTGCATCTAGAACGCCGACATGGCGATGTACTAAATGTCGACCTTCCAAACCATCTATCATGTCAACTCAGCAGCTCCAGAATTCACCTTCTTCCTTCCGGTCCTCGGTACTCGGTGCTTCATCTTCCTTAGACCCGGGGCATCGACTGAAGCGAAAATCTTCCAGACAGGTCTGCTGGGGCTATCTGGCTCAAGGATTACTAGAAATAATGGCGGAAAGTCTCGTCAATGTTAGAGGAATGGCAATGGCCATTGATAAGCCTTCATCAAAGCTTCTTCTAGGGTCCAAAGAGCTTGGCCGGCCCCATATATGGCTGCCGGGATCTTTCGCCGGTGCCGGCAAGTCGGATGGCGCAGAGCTGGCTAGCTTCATTATCCCCTGTCGCCGCTTGCAGTGCGATAGCTTGGGGCTAGGCATCATGTCATAGTAATTTCTCTGTCGCTATGATTGGCATTGGTGATGATGTTAGGTACACGGCGCGGGAATTGTCAATGACGGTCCATAGTCTCTAAGCTCGCGAGGTCTTGGGAATCCCGGGATGGGGCTTGGTGAATGTGTTGTTTGCGCTATCGCATCTCTTAGGGGCGGATATCAGTCTCGTAAACATTCTGGCTCGGGCGATGTGGGCTGCCTGCACCAAGTACAACCCCAGTATTTCCTATTGCCGCCGATAGAGTGTCCTGTCTTTGAATCCGACCGGGATCTGTTTTTCATGTCAACTTAGATATCCTTATCGACAGGGTGTATACAGTGCCAGGATGACTGGGAAAGGGCGCGAAAACTGCAGAAAAGTCATCAAGAGCAGGAGTAGCAAGAGCGTTGGCAGCATCAATGGCCCTGCTTGAAGTAAACCTTCTTTTGCCCATGTCGTTGGACCCGCTACCAACGACAGGCTTTTCCAACAACGACCCTTTATTCCTATCGTTGTCGAGAGCCAGTAGCAGCAGCAATTCTTCTGACCATTCAGGAGACGTCTCTGCGAGCGGACGCGTTATTATTCCGAGCCCCTGTACCCAGTTGTTTGTCCATTCCCAATCATCATAATTAATGTGCCCCATGATAGATCGTCGATCAAAACCTCGTCCGCAGGACCCGAAAACCCGTTGGCTTACCGACACGTTTTCCATGGTAGCTTTAATGGCCGCGTCGGGCAATCTTTCGGGCATTAGCCAGATATGTAAGGCAGTTGAGTATTTTGGGATAGCGTCGGAAATATAATTGATGATAGCTATAATGTCTGTGGTATCCGGAGTGCTCGGGCGTATTAATCGCTGCCGCTTCTGTCTATCTGGCTAAGTGACATGTAGAGGATCAGTGCACTGGCGCTTCTTTAGACTTGAGGAGGCTGGCCATGACGGAGAATTTGGAAAGGGAAATGGATGATGATGCTACGATGTGTATTTTGCCTTTTCAAGCCGGTTAAGCTAGGCCTCATCAGGGCGGCGCAACATCTACAATTATCGTCACCAGGTGCCAGCAGCTATTAGTTGGCAGCTAAAAGGCAACGATTGGTCCAACAAACTAGATGCTCGTCCGGCCATGTCGTCACTCTCTTGCCCCGGGCGCGGATGTCGGTGTTGGCTTTAGGCAGGAATAAGCCCATCGTCCTTGGAAATCAGGCAGCACTTATCCAGCGACTAGGCTAGCAGCCCCAAAGGTTGAAGGTTGCATGGCTAGAAATTCATCTGATCATCGGCTGATCACCGGCACCGCACAGCTGCAGCCAACAGGAATTATGGAGCTTGAGAGCCTCCTGGTCGCAATTTACAAGAACATAATTAAAGCCATTGACTAAGCAAAATCAAAGAGGCTTTGGCAGCTCAGACTAAGCTTGACTTCGCTAGGCAATCAACCTGTAGCCTCTAAGCCTCGGCCTAAGTCAAAGCACCACGTGTCTGGCCTAGCCAAAAATTTCCCACATGAGGGAAATGGGCCCAGCTGCTAGGGCTTACAACGGTACTCTCAATCCTTCAGGAAAGCTCAAAAAGTAACTAGCCGAGTACCCTGGAAAATTATTCCAATTCCACCCTCAGAAACAAGCAACATCAGACCCCTATCGCCGCAATGTCCGATCTGTCATGGGAACATATCTTGCCAACAGAAAAGCCGTCAGCAATGATATCGCAAGGTCAACAATCGCCAGGGGTTCAACAAATGTTTACGGCATTCATCTGCGATGCCGTCTCTAAACGAGTCTCACTTCTGAATATCAATTGCAACGTCACTGAATTCCTTCACAAAGGCCCGCACGACTTGTAGCTCTCTGGTTCTCAGTGCAGTCAAGGATTCATCGATATACCATGAATTAGAAATCGCAACAGTGCCACCCTCAAAACCGAATAAACCCCATACGAGATTCAAAAGTTAGACGAAATTATGAATTATACCCGGGTCAAAAATTATGATCCAAACATCACCCTACGTTTAGCTAAGAGCCTCTCTGGCCATACTTTGCGATGATCGCGATTCGAACGGGAGAAGGAAAATACAAACGATAATTAGTGGAAGCAGCAATATTTTTTCTTGTAGTCAATCTAGGCGTGATCTATCAAATCGCATTGTTTAGCGAAGCTCTCAAATTTATGGGTCCCGTGTCCCGTGACTTAGAGTCGCCTACATTCTTGGACATGGCACCTGTGGTTAGAGAAAGGAAAATAGACAAGAAGCAACATACTTTGTTAAAAGTTTTACTTCTAGTAACAATCGTAAAGTATCGTTACTCGAATCATCTTGTATTATTTATTTATAATATTTAACGTCGTGCTCGCGCACAGCACGTGAGCTTTCCATGTATCGATTAGCCCAGTCTAAATTAAAGTACCCGACGTGTTGGCGCCTATACAGACCCAACAAAGCAAATAAAAGCCAGCATCTTGTCATCCTACGCTCGAAAATTATAGAATATATTGAAATCGTGCGTTCAACGAATTGCATGCTATGCAGTTGGTAATAAATGAAGAAAAGATTTTACCCAAAAAAAAATATTCACATGAAATCGTGATTTCATTTGAATCAGGCTTGTTGTTGTACCCTTTCAAAGAAATTAGTGATACGCAAGCAGCTATTGAGAGCATTAACCCCCCCTGCTGAAGCAAGAGCCCGAGATATGCTGTGATTAGAATTCTGTGCCCTGTGGAGCTGAGCCTGGTATTGCCCGAGGAATCATCTTATATTAGACACGAGATTGAAGCCACAAGTTTACTGTATCACATGACGTTGAGACCCCGTACCTATTAAGCCTCACATTCGGGCTGATGAGTGCCATGAAAATAGGCCGATATTCTAGTAGAATTGGGCATCAAAAGACGGCTAGCACAACTTTTCCCACGAGCTTCTAGAGAGAGATAAATAAGTCGGTCTCTCTACGTTGAATCATATTTTCTGTAATTTTCTTTGATATTGTGTCATAGCTAGATAGCTGCATACGCAATTAAAATCTGATGCAAAAAAAAAAGTCGGTCTCTCATACTTTACTGCCATGATAGTTGAGGCCTGAAGTCCAAGGTTAAAAATATTCATTGACCAGCAAGAGGAGATCAGTTCTTTTGGAAAAGAAATTACCGAGTTATTTTTAGGGGCATAGTGAAAAGTGGGCAAAATATACATCCCTATACACCTGTACGCCGTGTCCTCTACGAACTTGGGAGTGGGATATTCTCCCAGAGCCAGGTTCAGTCAAATTTCGGAATACCAAAGAAGTTGGCCCACGAGGCCATGGTTCCAAATACTCCACCATGTCCATCTTTCACTCCCAAAGAGTCCGACTCATACTGGAGCCTCATAAAGTTTACAAGTACGACCAAGTGCATCCTTTTTCCAATGGGCACTCTTCTCTTCGACTTTCGCTGGCCTCAGCTCGTCAACAAATAGACGCCCACGCCGATATTAACGCCAGATGGAGGAAACAAAGCGTAGAGCACAAATACGGGAGGCAGTTCTTTGGGATTGGCGAGAGAGAAATTGGGGCAAATTTACAAGATGATGCAGAAAGTGAATACTATGTCGACGGATGTGAGATTTTGAATTTTAGCAAGGAGTTTTACAAAATGAGATTTGTGCGCGCGCCAAGACTTCCGATTGCAAGAGTATAGTTGATACTATAAACACAAGTCAACGATGGAAGGTGCCGTGGTACGCCTTTTGGTGGTGTTCTCTGGTGTAGTTTGAGTAGCCTGGCTACCTACTCCACTTGAGAAGGGGACACCTATACCACGTATCTCGCGGAGAAAAGTTGTAAGATGATGGAGGCATGTCTGGATAACTCAGGGTTTTGAAGACGCTCCCCTGGGTGGGTATTCACGGATGAGGGTTGACTTGGGGTGAAGAAAAAGCCGCCATAACTTCGCAGTGGCACTTGCAAATGGAATCCGAGGCAAGAGTGCTCTAGTTTAAATTCAGTCATCTATTATATACTTTTTCTCCGGGATAGAGTCATAGCTATGCACGCATTTTAAATGTGATGCAAAAAAAATACACCCCCGATAGTTTGGGTATATCTGTTATTGCTGGCTCATCCACATGTCAAGCTTGGGATACTTCAACACATCCTGGCTAAAGGTATTGAATCGAAGCTGAATACTGTAGACCCCAAACAAATATCACACTAGTCTATGTAATAGGGAAAATCACGGTAGTGCATTGCGTCAGCCATAGTTCAGGCGTCATCTCTCAATCATGAAATGATGTCTCTACCTGCATGCGACCAAGCTGCTCCAATCACCACGTGTATCTCTGTAGTCTCTACAACGTCACTGAAGCCCGGCCTATTGCTGGGATGCCAAGCTGCATGAGTCAGCGGAAAAGAATAAAAAAGCATGCGATGAAAGCTAGATAACTTGTCCGAAACCTCCCAATGGTGCAGATAGAATACCGTGTATCCGACGAACTAGAGAAATCAGTGAGTCTCTGTAGTTATCGACGAAATGAGAGGTGCTATGCTCGATACGTCTGCCATTTTTCTGGTGTGCATCACTTTAAAGAGAGCTACGGCCAACTTTTGGTTAAGATACTTTGTCAAGAAAACAAGCACTCTGGTAAAACTGTTTGCTCAATGGCGCACCCGGCAGAGACGGACTCATCAATCTGCTCTGGTCACTTCGTAGTACGAAGAGCCTTTCCCCAGCTGAATTGAGCAACTTTAACCTATCTGACCTCAATTCCCTACCTCATCTTTTCCTGGTATTCTCACTACTTCAGTCGCCATATCCCAGATTCCCAAGTGTTTCTTGTGCCGATGATCATATGAGTCAAAACAACAATAGGGTCCGTCGTGTAATTTTAACCTATCAATGGATTAGAGGGGTTTTTTGACCTGCACACAATTTCCTGTGCCATTTATTTTGAGTTGAATAAGGCTTCCCGTTAAGCTCTTGCTATCATATCATGTGAATTGGTCAAGGGCAGCCCTGCCTTTTGAGGTGTCCGTCGGTATACCAAAACTAGTCTTCGCTTGATCTCGTTCAGAATTAACTGGCTATGACCAATCGAGAATTACGCTAGGTCATCTTGAGCACGTAACCATCAGTCAGGTCACATGATGATGCAGATTTCCTGGTTTGTTTGGTTATATCGGGAGAGTATTCTCTTAGTAGCAAATAGCAGCCAGTGAGCCTAGTTTACCAAGGCCGTACCATCAGATGCAGTTGATCAAATAGAAAAACAAGGAATCAGACCTTGTCTAGACCAAGCCAAAGCAACTTTTACCAACTACATGGTGTAATCTAGCCAAGTCAAAACCTGATGCTCTCAGCGAATTCCCTAGGCTTCATCATTCATATCGCCCTAATACCAATCTCAACTTTATATTGCCTGGCTCGTATATCTTGGCTCAGACCTCAACGAACTTGGCACCCTTGGCTTCCCATCATAGAAAATTCATGAATACTAGTAGATAGCTGCCTACTGTCAAATCCACCCAGTCGCCAACTATTTTTTTTCCTGTGCAACACTATAGAATCTACTGCAAAAAATAGTTCCTCTCAGGTGTGGACTGATATTACCATGGTTTTGTGTGAGGGGCTTCGAGTTTTAATTGTATATCAAGTGTGATGGTGTTCATTTATTACTCTCTGTAGTCTCAGCGTAAATATCACATTGGAAGTGCTTGTAACTCACAGCCATTAATTTATTTTTTCCTTCGCAATCCATCTCTTTATAGTAATAGGCGTATAGTTGGAGAAAGTTTAATAGCCTGTGATCACGTTTGTCTACCAAAATCCTACACTCAAATATTTTCTTGAGAGACCGGAGCTGGCTATTCCTGGAGAAACAATACCCCACATATTCCAATAAATTATATCATGGAGTACAAAAGCTAAAAACTTGTCAGTTGTGTCGACTACCCTCCCGAGACG